TATACATATACATATACATACACATTGTTCGTATATGCAGTGCATGTACACATACAACTTGATATATCTTGGATTCAGAAATACATATATATATATACACACACACACGGGGACGTATTAATGTATTCGGGCTCTACATGCAATCATACACGTGCTCCCACACATTTACAATCATTCGCTCATGCAAGCATACAGTCGCATATATATATATATATATGTGCATAATGCACATACGCTGGTCCGCCGGTATGCATATGGATCATATGGAGGTTATAGAAGGCAACATGTGGCAACATAACATAACCTATGTGGCTTTCTACTATTACAACTTTGATATAACTTCTAGGATTGTGAATGGTAGAAAAAGACTTGTCTGCATCTCCCTTTTTTGTCCTGAGCATGGGTTTGCACGCTGGTTTGGTCCCAGGCCCGAAACATAAACTTCGACATTTCGCAGACTCATAAGCCCTGTCAGGGCTCTGGCTCCCTGGTCTGGAAGGCGGAAGGCTGCGAGGCCCCCAAAAAGCAACAGACCCAGAGCTTTGTTTGGCCTCGACTACCACCCGAGGCCAGGGGTCCAAAGCCCTTTGGCTGACTGCCCCTCCTTCCCACCATCTGCTCTACGACATCCCAAATCCCACGAGGCTTGGCTCGAAAACTGCAGCCACCCTTGACACCGAGAGGAGGACGGCACACACTGGGCTTGAGAATCATTTCCCCTATACCCGATCCGCCTCGAAGAGAAGTTCACCTGCGGCTCGAGTGGATGTCTTGGACCGGTGCAGTGGGGGTCGTCGCACTCTTTGCACGGTATCTTCCTGCATGTTCTGTTGGAGAAGCAATCGGAAAGGAAAAAGCTTGCAGATCGGGCCTTTCGTGTCCGCTTCGCTGCATGGGAGTTCAACAGCCTGTGCATCCGTGTTGGGTGCACAATGCGCTCCTCCAACTCACAGTAGCTCGGGTGCAGGCACGAAGCTAGATAGCAGCGACAAGGTGCCACCAGTGGCTAGGAAAACAGCACCTGGCGGCCACAATATGTTGTTCAGAGCCATTCCATCTGATTCACTTCTTCATTGTGACTGCTAGGCTTTCGGCACGGTCCAAGCTGCAGTTGGAAATCTGCAGGCCAAATCAATACCGAGCCGTCCTTGATGCAAACGCAAGTGCCATGATAGGCTGATGCAGCTTGCGAGAAGTGAAGTCTCGCACGGTCTGGGCAAAGATGAACTCCGCGGTGAGCAAGTGAAGCCTTTGGGAATACATGACGTGGCAGCAGAACAAGAACATGCAATTGCTTGCTCCGTCGCTCTCATCACATCGAACGAGAAACCATTCAATAGAAAAAGAACACATTCCAGTAAATCAGTTCGCCGATTTCAGCAGATTGGAAGTGCGTATCACTCGGCACCCCACCCGTCTCGAACATCCTTTCCCGTTACGTGCACACACACACACACACACTCTGGCCTCTGTCGTCTCTGGGCAAGGATGGCCATTGTTAAAATCAAGTCTGTCATGCTGCCGACAACATCCGACAACCAAGCCATGCACAAAAGAATCCCATGCTGTAAACTCACTTGGTAGGCTGCGCGGGTTTCGAGCCTTGTTGCAAGACCTTCGGCCAAGTTGGGGCCTGTCTCCACCTCGTCCCATCGAGCCATGGGATTCTTTCGGGTCTGAGCTAGTTGTTTCGGATACTCTTGTTTACTCGGGGGAATAAGTGCTCTGCGTGGTGGGCCTCGCAGCCGCAGACAACGCCTTGGTTGCCTCGAATTGTGGGGTTCCGCACACAATGTCGAAGAAGTACAAGTTCCAAACTCTCACGAAACTGCACGGAGGCATGTTGGAACACTCCTGGACCTTCTGCGAGACAAAACATAAATACGAAGACGAAAGGCGGGAATTCTGCCGAATTTGCTTTGGCTCAGACGCCCAACATGCCCGGATGCAGACAAACAAGTGAAACACTCCAACAGATGCTCGCGTGGTCTCGCGCGTACTCCCTTCCTTTGGCGGCCTGGCAGCCTGTTGTGGAAGTGTGAGAGAAAGCAGACCTCGGCTTGAGTTTGAGACCGACTCGGCGACACAGCGAAAACTCCGAGGAGTGCACGAAAGCAGCCAATGAGGCGGCCTCAGATCGCGCTTCGCTCTCTTCGCTCTCTTCGCTCTCTTCGCTCTCTTCGCTCTCTTCGCTCTCTTCGCTCTCTTCGCTCTTTGATCTGACCTCCTTTCCATTGAAGTTCCACACACGTTCTCAACACCTCACAAACACTAGTCTGCACAACCAGGTCTTTGCAATTCCTACACGCCTGGGGGCTCAGGGTTTCTGGGTCTCAGGGCTTAGGGCTTTGGCTGCCGACCTCTTGACATGAAAGGACGGGAACAGAACTGAAACCTCGAATCACGATCGATTCTGGCAGATCCGCTGTAAGACGAGGCATGCGCAGGTTTCAAGCTCCGCAGAGCTGTGGACTCCTTAAAGCCCGTGTGTGCAGCCCAAAGCTTCGCATTCGGCTTAAGAGTCTTATTATTAGGGTTTAGGATGTGTTATTTTCGGCTGTTTTGCTGCGTTTACATTGTTTACAGGTGACCAACGTCGATGTGGCATCCAGACTAGAGCAGCAGCGGCATGAACCCCAAACCCACCGTGGACATCCCTGAGCCGCAAAACCATAACATCCCACAGTGCCAACAGTTTGTCGACGGTTTTCCCAGTCAAGCACTCGATGATGCGACCCACGTGCACAGCACATACCACTCGAATAAGCCACATCTCAGCTGGAAAAAGGACAGGAGCGCCAGCATCGGCTCTGGACGGCTGCCCGACTCGCTGTGCATTTTCACAGGCAATATGAAGAACACAAAATTATTTTACTTCGAAAATCCCACCCCTACAGATAATGCATTTGCGAGGCCTACACAAACTATTGTCTAGGCCAACGGCAATAAAATACAGGGGAGGGCAGCTTCGTTGCACAGATTGAGCTTTGTATACTTCTGAACCAAAAGCAAAAGCATCCCTTTTGTAGCCGCCGCAAAACTTGCAATGTGATAATCAGATTCACATGGC